TTGATGGTATTTTATTTTTATGTGGTATGAGTTGTAATATCTAATTTTTCAGTTATTATTGAGCTTATTTAGATGCTTACTCTTCCATTCCTTGTCAATCTAGCAAAAGGTCTATCAATTTTGTTTAACTTTCCAAAGAACCAATGTTTTGTTTTGTTCATCCTTTGTATTATTTTCTTGGTTTCCATTTCTTTTAGTTTTGCTCCAAATTTACTTATTTCTTTTCTTCTGTTGGCTTTGAGTTTAGTTTGCCCTTCCTTTTCTATTTCCTTGTGATGTGTCATTAGGCTGTTAATTTGTAATCTTTTTGTCTTTTTTTTATTTCAGGGTATTATGAAGGTAAAAACATTATGGTTACATTTTGTTTCTGGGACTCACCCTAGTGAGGGTAAGAGGTATGTCCTTCCCCTCTACAATGCTCCCTGTGTCCTTTAGTTGTGATTGTCTTTTTGATGTAGGCATTTAAGGCTATGAATTTTCCCCGTAGGACTGCTTTTGCTGAATCCCATAGATTTTGATAGCTTTTGTTCTCTTTGTCATTCAGTTGATGGAATCTTTCTCTTTTCTTTTATTTCAGAATATTATGGGGGTACAGATGTTTAGGTTATGTATGTTGCCTTTGCTCCCCTTCCCCCACCAAGTCAGATCTTGAAGTGTAGTTCATGGAATCTTTTGATTTCCATGTTAATTTCATTATTGACAATAATCATTCAGCAGCAGGTTGCTTAATTTCAATGACTTTGTGTAGGTTTGAGTGTTTTTCTTGGAATTGAGTTCTGGTCTTATTCCACTGTGGTCTGAGAAGATACGTGGTATGATATTGATTTTCTTTGGATTTGTGACATATTTTGTGGCTCAACATATTGTTAATCTTAGAGAACGTTCCATGTGCTGATGGGAAAAATGTATATTCAGTAGTTTTGTGGTAGATTGTTTGGTAAACATTGGGTGTGTTAGGTCCATTTGTTCCACAGTCCCATACATGTCTAGCGTTTCTTCATTTATTTTCTGCTTCAATGATCTGTTAAGTTCTGTCAGTGGGGTATTGAAATCCCTGGCAATTATGATGTTGCCGTTTACCTCTTTGCTTAGATCTAGTAGAATTTGTTTATGAATCTGGGAGTTTCTGTGTTAGGTGTACATATATTTAGGATTGTTATGCCTTCTTGTTGAATTACTCCCTTTAGCATTATATAATGATTATCTTTGTTTTTCTGTACCATTGTTGATTTAAAATCAATTTTATCCTATATGACAATGGCTACATCTGCTCTCGTTTTGTTTCCATTTGCATGGAATATTTTTTTCCATCCCTTCACCTTGACTATGTGAGTCCTTGCAGGTTAGCTTTGTTTCCTGGACTCAGAAGAAACTTGCATTGCATTTTTCATCTATTCAGCCAGCCTATGTCTCTTGAGTGGGGCATTAAGATCACTGATGCTGAGTGATAGAATTGATATGTGGGATGTCGTTCTGTTCATCATGTTGGGTACTACCTTATTGCTTTGTTTTCCTTTTTGTGCTATTGTTTTACATGAACTGGGAGTTTTAGCTTTTAGGAGATTTTACATTGGCAGGTTCCTATTGTGCTAATCCACGTATAATGCAGTTATGAGTATTTCCTGCTTGGCAGATCTGGCCATGACAGATTTCCTTGATGTTCGATGTCTGGAAGACTCTTTATTTTTTATTCATATATAAAACTTATTTTTGCAGGATACATATATAAAACTTATTTTTGCTGAGAATTGTTGCATTTAAGAATACTGAAGATGGGGTCCCAATCCCTTCTGGTTTGTAAGGTCTCTGCTGAGAAGCCTGGTGATCGCCTGATGGGTTCCTTCGTAAGTGAATTGGTGTTTTTGTCTCATGAATTTCCGGAATTCGTCCTGCATGTTGACTTTGTCCAGTCTGATGATTATATGTCTTGGTGATTACGTCATTGCAATGAACCTCCCAGGTATTCCTTGAGCCTCTTGTATCTGGATGTATAAATCTCTAGAAAGATCAGGGAAGTTTTTTTAAATTTTCCTCTCAAATAGGTTTTCTAGTTCTTGTGCTTTTTCTTCTCTGCCCTCAGGGATGCCTATGATTCTTATATTTGTTCATTTTACATAATTTCTTATTTCTTATAGGCTTTGGTTTATTCCTCTCTATTTTTTTGTTCTTTATTTTGATGGGTTAATTTGAAAGATTTGTCTTCAATCTCTGAAATTCTTTCTTCCGCCTGGTATAGTCTGTTATTTTTTTTTTTTTCGAGACAGAGTCTCACTGTGTTGCCCAGGCTAGAGTGCCATGGCATTAGCCTAGCTCACAGCAACCTCAAACTCCTGGGATCAAGCGATCCTCCTATCTCAGCCTCTCGAGTAGCCTACTATAGGCATGTGCCACCATTCCCAGCTAATTTTTTCTATATATTTTAGTTGTCTGATTAATTTCTTTCTATTTTTACTAGAGATGGGGTCTCGCTCTTGCTCAGGCTGGTTTCAAACTCCTGAGCTAAAACAATCCGCCCGCCTCGGCCTCCCAGAGAGCTAGGATTACAGGCGTGAGCCACTGCGCCCGGCCTGCCTCGTATAGTCTATTCTTAAAGGTTTCCACTGTGTTTTGTATTTGTTTAAACTAATTTTTCATTTTCAGAAATTCCAATTATCTTTTTCTTAATATGTCTAGATCTTCAGTAAATTTTTCAATCATTTCCTGAATTGTTTTTCTGGTTTCTTTAAGTTGTTTTTCCATTTTCTCTTGGATTTCATTCAATTTCCTTACAATCCTTATTTGGAATTTTTTACCTGTCATTTTAATATTTTCATTCTGGTTGGGATCCATTGAGACAGACCTGGTGTGCCCCTTTGGGGGTGTCATTTATCTCTGATTTTTCATTCCTGTGGAATTCTTATACTGGTTCCTCATCTGGAGTAGCTGTTGCTTTTTCTCTTCTGAATTTCTTTTGTTCAGATGGAGAGTTTTCTGCACTCACTCTTAAGAGTGTATCTGTAACATATGTTTGGTAAGAACATTTGGCCTTGGTTTTGGGTGCTGTGTTGGGGTCTAGGTTCTGGACAGATGCCTTGGTTATAGGTATCCCTAGTGTGGTGGTTTTCTCAGTTGCCAGCGGTTTGTAAGGTGTAGCAGTGGTGAGCTATGGGTGTAGGCAGATTCCCTGTCTCTTGTTGATGAGGAAGATGGAGGTCTTTGAATTGCATTCTCTTTCCCCTGCCCGGTGGTCTTCTTAACAGTGTGAATTGCATTAGGATGCCCAGTTTAATCTCTGAGACAGTAGGGGGTTAGTATTCACTTTTAAACCTAAACTAAATTTCAATTTTAATTGGTCACTTCAAGTGCTCAACTAATGGCCGCATGCAGCAAGTGGCTACCATATTGGACAATGTAGCTCTGATCCACTTTGTGACCTTGGGTAAGACTCTGAACCTGTCTGTGCTTCACTCTCTCCATCTGTAAAATGGGGATGACAACAAGAAGTACCTCAAAGCGTGACTACTGAGTTCCTGAGGGTAAAGCATTTCATGACTTCCCACCAGGGCTGGATCAGGACCTAAGCTTAGTGGCAGATCACGTAGCACAGCAAGATCAAAGTCCTAGGTTCAAGAGAGTCCATGCTGGTACCTCTCCAAGGTCAGGAAAGTACACCCTCCACCCCTTAAAAACATAATCTCTCTGTACCTCCCACCCGGGTCGAAGTAACTGCCAGGGTCAGGGTCCTGGGTCCAACAGGGGTTTGCTTAACATTGCAAAAATGTTGCTACCTGATGGTGGAAAGTCATGGCCGGGCAGAGACAAGTAAACATGGACACATTTATTCCCATATTTGGAAAATGTGGACTGACCCTGCCAGAGGCTGGATGGGTAGAGGCTCACAGTGGCAATGGAGACAGATGGGAGAATGGGGACATCGATCAAAGTGGACCCAGTCGCTGCACTCCTGGATTCAGAGTCTAATGTGGAAAACAGAGATATGAAGTTACAAGGAGGTAGGAAGACAGTGTCAGAGAAATTTCCTTCACTCTGAAGCTAGCCAGAGGCATGGAGTGAACTGCCCAGCACTAGTCAGAGCTATCAGAGACCGAGAGGATCTGACCACTCGACACGCAGGTCTCAATCTCTCCAGCTCTTTCCACCTGACCCTTCCTCCAAGTCTCACCAGTTCTGCATCTCTTGCCCCTTCTTCTCTTTCTCCCATTACTTCCACCTGTATCCACAGAAGTGGGGGTGAAGGAGGGGACACTGTGGATAGATACTGAATATCTGTAGGACTTACAAAGACAGGGGCTAGGATACGCACCAACACTCAAGCACAAACACAGCACACACAGTCTCTTGCAGTCTAAGTTAGAATACAATTCGCCAGGTTACAAAGGCAACATTAGGGCAAATTTAATTTAATTGAACAATTCCCTCCTTTCGGTCAGCTGCTCAGTTTTGAACATACACTACCACCACCTCCACCACACAAATGCAAGCGCACCTTCAAATATGAAATTATATAAATACACAGAACCCCCTCACATGCAAGAATACACACAAAGCACACCCAGACTTGTACAGAGAAACACACCCCAGCAGAGTCACATAAATACAAACACCATTTCATATATAAAAATCATTATATAAGCACAGACACAGATAAAAGCAGGCAGTCAAATACACGCAAGCATAAACAAACAGGCAACTAAGTAGACAAGTGCATGCTCACCCACACCCACAAACATAAACACACATGAATACACTGACACCCCCACACACTGACATGCTCCTGTGGACTTTAGTATCTTCACCACAGTATCCCTGCCAGCATCTAGGGGGAGAGTAAAGGGACAGGGAACAGGTCACAGTGCCACCCAAGCAGGAAGTGTAGATTCCCCCGCACCTTCCCTCTAAGTTAACACACCTGGATAAGGATGAGAGGGGAGGTGGGGACTGGATGAAGTTTCATAACTGGGTGTGGAGGCAGGCTTAGGATAAAAGGCCCAGCTGGAGGCTGCAGTGGGGTAGAAGACAGCCTGGGACCATGGAGCTCAGTGTCCTCCTCTTCTTTGCAGTCCTCATGGGCCTCTTGCTACTCCTGGTCAAGGGCCGCCCAAGCACCCGTGGCTACCTCCCGCCAGGTCCCCATCCTCTGCCCTTCTTGGGGAATCTTCTGCAGATGGACAGAGGAGGGCTACTCAAGTCCTTCCTGAGGGTAAGGTGCAGATGGCTGAGGTCTGAGGGTGGGCTGCTTCCTGCATTGATATTTGGGGATCCCCCTGCGGATAGAGTGAGGCAGGCTTCGAGGCTCAGGGGTGGGTTGGGGAAGGTTGGTTAGTAAGGCCCATTAGCTGAAGTATGGATGGTGGTGTTAAGAGAAAAAACTTTAAAGAAATTAAATTTAGCAGGGATTATTTCAGCAAGGAAAACATTCACAATAGTGCAGTACCCTGAACCAGTAAAGGTTAAGAGAGCATCACCCAGCAATGTGGGAAAGCAGACTTATAGAGAGAAAAAGAAAGTGACATACAGAAATAGCCTGGTTGGTTACAGCTGAGAATGTGCCTCGTTTGGACATGTCTCAGCAGTTTCAGCCTTTGATTGGCTGAAAGCTCAGCCGCTCTGGGTGGCTGAAACTTGACTACTTGTTGCAAGAATATACTCTCAAGTTGGTTGGCAGCTTGTTAGGTTTAGTTTACTATGTAGAGAGGTAGCTTTAGGCCAAATTTAATTTAATTGAACAATTCACCCTCCTGGTCAGCCTAACAATTTTGAGAGATTGACCAAAACCCTGGGCACAGACACAGACTTGTCACCATGATAATGGACTTGCTTTGTCTCAGTATGGAATTCACAATTTGTAATGTCAATTAGTTGGACGAGTCTGCATGCTTTCTTCTCTTTTTGTCATTCTAACTGTAAGGAGACCTTTTCATGTACAAAGGAGGGCAGCATACAAGCATTTGAGACTGTGGAGGGGATATAACACTTGAGAGAGGCTAATGTGGTGACCGTCAGGGGGATAGGACCAGGAAACTGAACTATACCCCTTAACAAGGGTCTCCAAGAACCAACTCAAACAAAATCAAACAATTCAAACTTCAGGCAATAAAGATAACTATATTGGAGTCATAGCCTTTTTTCAGAGCAGAACAGAGATTAAGGACCAGAGCTTGCAATTCAATGGTGTGATGTAAAGAGGTATCCGTTTTTACAGTTAGCCTGGAACAGTCAGAGTAACCTGCAGACTCACTAGAAGATGTGTAAAACTTAGAAAACCTTGGGATAGCCTGGATTGCCATTCACTGTTCAGGATGCCTGTCAACCAAATGTTAGCTGCCCCCATAAACACATCATGTGTTCCTTTCTCCTGATAAATGTCATTAAAGTATTTGGAGACAGAGGCTAGAGAAACAGCAATATCAGCCACCTTTGCAATTAAGCTCTCTGTAGTGGTAAAATCAGGGGAAAGGTAAGTGCAATGTTTGGTTATTCCCTGCTCTGTATACAAGCCCCAACATGGTCAAACAGAAGATCTAAAACTGCTTAATTTTCCATGAATTGTTTTTGTTCAACATAAATATTCTCATCCACTTTTTGAAGTGTGGCTTTTACCTGTTTGAAACGCTGGTAGGTCTAATTGGCTATAAAATCTGAGATCTTCCCCAGTGTACAGATTAGTCTTAAAGTCCACACAGCGGGCACCCCAATACCACCTAAGGCCTCGAGGAACACCACGGGAAACTTTGCTCCGTGGAAACTAACTTATCTTCTATTTTGAGGTTGGTACTAATTTCAGTTATTGACCACTTTGGCGTCTGATAATGGGAGGTATTGTGGGAACTTTCAGGAAAAGCTATTTGGAAGGCTGGATTGAGGCAGGCCATTTAGCAAGATCTGAACCAGTGAGGAGACAGAGCAGAGTAAGGAAATCCTCAGCTGACCCAATAGAGACCCTCAGAGACTGGACAAGAGGACAATTCAGTGGCATTTGAGCAGAGGTTAGTTAAATTTGTCCTGCCATAAGTCTCCCTAGCTCTTGAACAAGGTCTAGTGGGAAGCTTAACTTTTTTGCAATCTTTTCATAGCATGCTGTAAGGGTGCATAACCACATTTAGTGCAAAGGGACCTTACTCAGATTAATCCAGAATCATTATGCAAGCAATTATTCACACCCTCATAGGTAGTCCCCAGGTCTCATGCATGTCACAACTGGAAGCACAGTATACCTTTGGCAGGTAACACTCACATAAGTTTTCTATATTTCACAGTAATTAGGTTATGAATTGAAAAGGTCAGGGTACTGTTACCAATGAGTGTAGGAAAGGAACTATTAGTGATGTCTAGAATATCAAGGATAGCTTTCCACCCTTCCTTTGGGGTTTAAGGTTGACTCTCACTGGGAACGCAAGGAGGCAATGGCATCAGTGTTTCCTCTTTTGGCAACCATTAGCCCACAAAACCAACAATTGCTCGATTTTCTTGCTGGAGCATAACAAGTATTTGCTAAAGCACCCACAGATTATGGTCTCATGGGTTTTTCTGTAATGAAAAGGAAGGGATTAGGACAGCAGAAAATAGGGAAGAAAGGAAAAAAAGATAAAGCTTTCCTAATGGCAGAAAAGTCTTGATCTGCATTTTTGAGCACACTGTCCACATCTAGGCTGCTCTCTGCTTCTGGGGAAAAACGTTCCTGGTCAGCTGAACCTGAAGGTCCCCAACAGTTGTACAGTTCCGGAAGTCTGGCAGGGTTCCTTTGAATTGGAGATGTGGAGCCAAGACTTGAGGTCCATAACTACTTAATAAGGGTCAATCTATGTTTTTCCTGTGGGAGTGGTCTGATTGCCATCACAGTAATACCTTTGACCAAAGCAATCCAGTCAATTCAGTTATCTTTGCTTAATGACTTTGTGTTTGTATTACCTTATTTAACCATCTTACAACTTGCCCAGTGAAACAAATACTCTTTTAAGTGGTGATTTCTCCAGGAACGCCCCGTGAAGGAAATACATTTCTAATAACCTTTTAGTTACTGTTATATTATTGGCCTTGCTCTGTAGGAAAGCTTCTATACCACCAGAAAACATGTATTGCATGTGGCAATTGAGTGAACTCCATCTGCAACTGTTCAAATGATACCTCGGGTGCCAGAAATGTATCATCTGAGGTCTTCATCGTCTTCCCAGAATTATGGGCTTCACAAACCAAACATTGCTATAAACCATTTTAGCAACCTTAGAACAGTCACAATATATTTTTCATAGTTTGGATCATTTTATCTCTTTCATGATGAGTCATGGAGTGCAGAGCTTTTAATAATGGAAGCTATAATAACTCAGGAAGTACCAGGAAACCATCCAGTCCCCATGACTGCATGCTTAACATTGGATTGCCATCCTCTTAAATACCAATTTTTTTCTCCAATTCACATGCATAGCACTATTTATTAAATAGCTAATCATAAGTAATTTGACTTCAATCAATCTTTCCCAGTTAATTGAAGTTGTATATCTTAACTATTTCAGTACTGGATGACTTAGCATGAAAATCTGCCAAATCGTTTTTTTGGTATTTAATTAACTTTTTTTCAGCTTGATATTGGGTTAACAGTCTTTTGAACCTTCAGTTCTTGGATTTCTTACCCATCCAATGGTAGGATCTCAAAGTTATATTATAGAAACCTGTATTTGTCAGAGTCCTTTCCATGAAATTCCTTGAAGATGAAATATGTTAGGCTTATAGTTGCTGAGAAAAGTATCAGAGTAAACAATTAGCTCTCTGTAAATGACAAAGCTTAAAATGGCCATAGTACCACTCACATTGTACAGGGTGAGTAGCGTATGCAGTGTCGACATGCTGGACAAAAGGGTGATTCTCATCCCAGGTGGGACAGAGTGGGTTCACGTGAGGTATTATCATGCTACCCAGATTGGCTCACAATTTAAAACTTATGAGTTGTTTCTTTCTGGAACTTTCCATTTGATATTTTCAGACCATTGTTTTCCACTGGTAATTGAACCCGTGCAAAACGAAATGGCTGATAACAAAGAGTATAATTCTTTAGTTGAGATGCCAGGGAGAAGTGGCCAGACTCAAGGCTATGTGGGTGGGGGTGACATTAGAAGCATTTGATCACCTGCAGTGTTTAGGGCACCAACCAATCAGACCAGACCTAGGCTGGGCCAAGGGTTAAACCTTTAGTTGCTGGGTCCTGGCAAGGTGAAAAGGCAGCCTGGGGAGGAGGGTCTTGGGGAAGGCAGCTAATTACCAGTCTGGTGTGTGAGTGTTTAATAGTTTGAACACTGAGGTGTGTGCTGACTCATATAACCCAGGGTGTGGGTATGCTTCACAGCTCCGAGAGAAATACGGGGATGTCTTCACGGTATACCTGGGACAGAGGCCCGCGGTCATGCTGTGTGGGATAGAGGCCATAAAGGAGGCCCTGGTGGACCAGGCTGAGGACTTCTCTGGCCGGGGCAAAATCGCCACTGTGGAGCCAGTCCTCCAGGGATATGGTGAGAGCTCCAAGGTACTGGGAGGGCCGTGTGAAGGATGCATGAAGGAAGGGGCAAAATGGGTGAAGAAGGACCCTGCGCCTCTCTCCAATGTCCTCTGCAATGCACAATTCCCCACACCCCAGGCGTGGTCTTTGCCAACGGGGACCGCTGGAAGGCCCTCCGGCGATTCTCTGTGGCTACCATGAGGGACTTCGGGATGGGAAAGCGGAGCGTGGAGGAGCGGATTCAGGAGGAGGCTCAGTGTCTGGTGGAGGAGCTGCGGAAATCCAAGGGTGAGTCCTGGGGGTGGCAGGAAGGAGGGTGAAAGGGGGAGAGGTGCGGGCGACCAGCAATAGAAAGGCAGAAAGGTATCTGTGGGCAGAGCCAGAGTCCGAGCCCGAGAGACCATCAGACAGAGGGCTGGATACAGAGAGACACGCAGGGGACTACAGGGGAACAGAGATGGGTAGGAGAGAAAGAGAGAGAGCACAGGAAAGAGGGAGATGCGAGGTGTGTAGTGTCCAAGAACAATCGAAACATATATACTTAGCGAGTAGGGCGTTATTTAGTGGGATCAGGAAAAGCACTTCATGGATTAATTGTAT